AATTGCTATTGGCGTGCGTTCGGATCGTGTCGAGCAACTACATCACGCTTACTACTTTCTTTTTTTTTTTTTTCTGGAAAAAGGATATCTTCGCGGAAAGAATGTGCGTTGAAACTTTTCTTCGAACATCGCGTCGTTTCCTTTAAATCAGCCGCTCTATTTACAATCAATTTTTCAACGAGACACGAGAGATTTCTTCGATTTCGCCTCATTCCTAACGCTACAAGAGTCTATGAAAAACATCGACAAGCAGTTTTAAATGGAAATTCCCAATGCGATCCCTGTGACAATTGAAAATCGCAGACAATAAAGAGAATAATTATTGCATAACGTAATTCTAGATGGAAATAAGGACAACGTGAAGATTAATGAAACGAAGAAGAGCAGAAATTGTTTATTTTTCAGTGTGAAAAAATTAAGAATGTATGAGAGAAGCAATTTATTTAGTTTTTTAAGAAATACCAGGAACACACGCGTATGGTGTTCTAGAAATTTTTACATTTCACGAAAGTACCTTTCTTGTTAAACACCGTCGTTCACGTGTCAATCTTTGTGTACAATTAATTCGATCCAAAAATGTCCATGAACAATTGTTGCCTTTAGTATATCATTTAGTATATCAGGCCAAAGTGGTTAACTCCACTGTTTGAATTCACTAAATGGCTGAATAATAAATAATTTCTTTCAGTAGTCAGTGTGATTAACTCCATACTCTAAAGTAAATCGTTGCAATAATGTAATTCAAACGCTTACAAGAATTTAGCTAAGTAATTTTTTAATGCAACAGTATAAAAAATATATAATTTCATGAATTTTCTCTATTTTATGCTTCATGGAATTATCAAATACATTTAGTACAGCAGAATCTTCAGTTAGATAAATTCACCGATAAACACTGTTCAATTCTGCAATAAAAAACAATTTCTAACTCTTTTCAATTTTCACTTGCCGTTAAATGTTTTTAATCATTTAAACTTTACACTCTACGATTAATCTTTGTATAAAATCATTATTCGATCTGAAAATCTCCGCAAGAAATTGTTATCTTCAGTAGGTATATTATCATTTGATACCGATGTTCAATTAGATAAATTAGATAAATTCACTGCTCAATTCTGCACGTTGATAAAAAACAACTTCTAACTCCTCTCAATTTCCACTTACAATCTTTGCCTACAGTTTCTGTACCATCTTATTTCATATCATTTGTACTATCTTCAAATATAATCATCATTCTAATACGGATGCAGCATGTTCAATTAGATAAATCCACCGATAAACACTGCTCGATTCTACACACGGATAAAGAAAGCCACTTCTATCTACCACAGGGATCGCAGACATTTAAATTCCCCACTTACCGCTAACTGTTTTTAATAATCGGAACTTTGCATACTACAATCTCGTCTTTTTCTATTCGTCAATGGGCGGCTGCAGGTTGCATGATCATTAGCAATTAAACATAGAACACGTTGCAAACTAATTAACACAGAAGCGACTCCCGTTGACTTTCTCATGTAAACCAACATTATCATTCTATATCTTCACAATAAATCGTATCATATCGAACGAGTTACACTCGACATTCCCTCGTCGCTGTTTATCATTGCAAAAAGAAAACGTTCACGTTTTCGCGAGTACATTTATATCGCGACAATCGTCCAACAGAAATTCCTCGGGATCGAAGACAAAAATCGTGCGCACGTAAGCAGAAAGAAAAGTTATAATTTCCACGCGTATACACCAACGGCCTGTTCGAAGTTGTTGCGCTCGGCCACCGCCATTTTCCTCCCCCAGAACAGCACTTTCGTTATGCTCCAGATCCTCCCTTTGCTCCTCGCCGCTCCCCGTACGGAAAATCTAAAGTGGTAATAAACCAACACGTCTCGAGTTTCCCAGTCAGTCGGTTCTCGCGTTGCCAAAGACCAGCCGGACGTAAGTAGCTGATCTCGTTTATTTCAACGGAAAGATGCTCCCCGGACGTAAACGGAAAAAATGGACAGCTTGTCGCGTATAATAGGATACACAACGATCGCCCTTCCCCTTCTCCATCGGCGTAAGAGAGATTTTCTTACTCTTTTCTCTTTCTCGATCGAAGAATATCGGGTTGGAACGAAGGTTCGTACCGCTTTTTCAAGTGAAACGTCCAAGACAACGTTCAGACATTTGGACGCAAATAGATTTAGTCGACCGTGTAAGTACGCCATTTTGTTCCACTATCTTCCGCCATCTTTCGCACAGTTTCACGATTCCTTCCTCCCAGAATTTTCGAGTGTTTTTGGGCGGTGAAAATTGGTCCGGATGGTTTCACAAAGGCTACGAACATTTGTTGCAACTTGGTGCACCGTTACGTGTGCAATTCTCGATCGAAGAATACAAAGTACACGAAAAATTGCAATACCGAAAAATGGGGGTTGCACGAATCCTGGAAATCGCGTATTTTTATCGGAACTTCCTTTTCACGCATTTCGAATTTCACAAGGACAACTACAGAAACAACTCTCCTACCGTTTATGCTTATTATAAATTTTATACAAATACACAATATCACGTAGTTTCGTTTATAAGTTAATAGTGTATAATACGTTGTTTTTTAAGGAAAATAGTCAATTTAACGCGTGTCCGTAGAAATAGGTACATAAGAAATGTCCGTAAACCTAGCGTTAATAAACAAGACCTTTCTTTTCTGTTCGTATCGTAATTAAGTATTGGTCGGTGAAAATCTTGTACTACGTCGTGGATTTTAGTTCTTTTGGATTTGGTCCATATTCTGTTCCGTTTTTCTCTTACGTTTGCTTGTATTGGATGATTGCAAAAGTTCGTGCCCGATTTGAAAATAAAACACAATCGGCGTGTGCAAAAGCAGATTTCATTTGAAACTGAAATGGAACGAAATGAATAATTATTTGAAAATTAAACACAAGCGTGTCTTTCGATAGGAATGTAACATTACGCTAACAGAAACATCTGTAATTTTCTACCCAACGCCTCAAATTTCAAATCAACTCGAATACTGCCCTTACGTCTGAAAAGTATGCAAGAGGTACTATTGAATTCCTTAACGAAACCAACCTCTTCCACAAAATCTAAAGTCATTCTGAAAGCTCGTCGCTAATGACCTCGATGTTGATGCGACGTAAAACCCTATATATAAAAAAAAAAAAAAGAAGATCTGTGCCGAAGTCGATAAGGTTCTCGCCACCTTTGAAAATCGGGCACGAACTTTTGCAATCATCTAATATTATATTTGCTACTTGTTCGTACGGGATTTATTTTCGAATTTCACTTGGTGGAAGAGATACGTTGCTTCTTTCGCAGTGGTGTATCAGCTTTTTCGTTGCCGGATATGACTTGGTAAGAAGGGCTTTTCTTTTTTATTTGATTACCAATCGATGTGGATCTTATCGGATTTTCGTCTCGAATCGGTAGGATTATCGTCAGACAAATTGATTTTTATTATCGTCCATTCTCTTTCAATATACGTCTGTACCTGTGTGTGCGGAATTCCAATGTTTTATTGATGGTTTTATTCATTGGACAGAAGTTCTTTATATAGCGCGAAGAAAATTGAGTTGTTGAATTTTATTACAAAGACGTATAAGGAGATATTGAGAGTATAACGGGTGTTCGTTGCGCAGGTATTCGTTATTTTCTATTTTAAAATGCAACTGTTGTGAAAAACTACTCGCATGTTCGATATTTAAATAGTGATTGGTTAAATGGAAATATTAGATTGGTGCAAATGAAATGTGAATTATACAAAATAGTGAGAAAGAAGGAACTTGCTGCAGTACACGTGTATCGAGCAGCAAAAAAGTTTATAATCCAATTGTTTCGACATAATTATCTGACGCGACGAATAATCAGGATATTCGTGTAATTTTTTTACACAAGTTTAAAATTGGAAAAACTGGCGAAAATGTAAATTGAACATTTGAAGAAGGTTAGGTAAATGTTAGGACATTTCAACGTTTGGTGTGCAAAATTCAAGACTGCTGACTTATCGTTGGAAACGAGCCAAAATAAAGGTCAGACAGGGCCTAGGTTGATAACGTTTTAAGAAAAATTATTTAAAACAATCCACGGTGAGGAATGTGAAATTTTGCCACATCCTTACCTGTTCGCTAGACCTTTCCTCGGCAGACTGCCATTTCTTCAAACGCTTAAACAATGTTTTTAACAAATAAATTATTCCGAAACGAAGACATTGTAAAAGTAGCATTGAAAAACATGTGATTCTTACATATTTGGTATAACGAAACTAGTTAATCGTTGGGAAAAGTGTGTAGAATCGTGTAGAAGTTATTTTGATTAAATATATCATTTTTTAACACTAGAATTACCGACTGAGTCAAAATGACCCATTAGCATCTTTCGAAAAAACGTGAATGTTCAGTACTGGTAAGTATTATCGCTTGTAACTTTCCGAATTTATATTCTACATGTATGCTTCTATTTGCCGAGTCAAAATGACCCATTAGCATCTTTCGAAAAAACGTGAATGTTCAATACTGGTAAGTATTATCGCTTGTAACTTTCCGAATTTATATTCTACATGTATGCTTCTATTTGCATCGGTATGAATCGAATTTTCCAATCACGATTTACTTACATAAAAATTCACTTTTGGAAAGTCGCTAATGCGTCATTTTGACTGGGCTGGTAGTTCTAGTGGTAAAGAAACACAATATAGGGTAATTCTGGAACAGTTGCCCACTATGATAATCCACTACTACGATTATTCAGTGTACCAGAATAAAATTAATACATTCAAAATTTTAGACTGTTTCATAAATGGTGGACAATATTTACAAAAAATTTGGGTGAAAAAGAATATTTTAATTACAATTAAATTACCTACCGTTGGTGCATCTCATCCAAATTTACCCTATCTAATGTTTCATTTAAAAAAAAACGACGTTTCATATGCAAGAACCCAATACATTCAGTTTTTTTTTAATGCTTCACAGTCGATACAATCGTTATTTTGTTCGTTACAGTCGGTTTCAATATGATCGTGGCGTTGGTAGCACAGCTTCTCTCTGTGCTCCTCCTCACCGAGTTGATGGTGACGAGCGTCGGTGCGATCTTCTTCTCGTCCTTGTTCTCGGCGCCGAAAGTGAACACAAACTTTCCATCGCCGGCGAAATTGAAGGATGAGAACGTCAATTTCGAAGACAACGGGAATCGTTATCGACAGCAAAACAAACGGAAGCCTCATATCGTTGTGATCCTTGCCGATGATATGGTAAGTGAAGTAATAATAACATACTAACTCCCGTAAAAAACTTTAATTTCACTGAAAAGCTCAGCTGATAACAATCGACGGGATCAAGAATTTATTCTTTAACAGTGATCATTACTGTAATGATGATTACACAAAATTGACAATAAACTTCTTATTCCTTGTATTCTGATCTTCTTTCAATTACTGCTCCTTTTTACAAAAAGTGTACTCAAATTTCCCTTTTTAATTATTTACGTAGTCTTTTTTATTATTTATACACAGGTTCGCGTTTATATTTTTGGAGACCTTGAAAGCCTCAAAGACCTTGAAAATCTCAAAGGAACGAGTATATTTCAGTTAATCAAATTCGTACACATTTTTTTCAAGTTTATTGAACGTTGGTATACATATTATATTTGCATTTAAAACGAACTCTTGTTTATACATTACGAATCTAATATTTAAAAATATGTATTTTATGTTGCAACTGTGATTAAGCTGTTTTCTATATTATCGTTTGCGAGGTAAGGTTTTAAAGTGTGGCCCCAGCTTGCGCCTTGCGGTAGATGCGGCCCTGTTTATACACATTCTTGGACAATAGATGAGATACGTTAGAAGGGAAAGTGAAAAGAAACATGAAATGATGATAATCGAAACGATCCTCGATTTATGATAATAAAAATGAAAATTAACAAGGAAGTGTTTATCGGTCAGTCGAAGTATAATTATTTAAAACGGTGTACAGGGATGGAATGATGTGAGCTTTCACGGATCGGATCAAATCCCCACACCGAACATCGACGCCCTTGCGTATAACGGTGTCATTTTAAATAGTCACTACGTTCCCGCGTTGTGCACGCCAAGCAGATCCGCTTTAATGACCGGAAAAAATCCAATTCATCTGGGCATGCAACACTCTGTTCTTTTCCCAGCCGAACCGCGAGGGCTTCCTCTAAGCGAAAAACTGCTACCTGAGGTAGGTTTCTGTAATAAACGGATTATAGCACGTGAATATTCTTTACCGTTCGAATTATACAGGGTAAAACAGGTCGCCTAATTATCTTCTCTATCTGCGACGGTACGAGAAAAGTTTTACAAGTAATTTAAATGATTTCAAAGGGTGAAATTGGGATGGGAGAAAATTTGTTTTATTTAAATGTACGTGCATTTAAACATGCTTAATAATCTTCATTTTTTGTCATTACTTATTTTGCATCGAAAAAATTTGTTTTTCGTCTTATTCACCCTTCGATACCGTTTAAATCACGTATAAAAATTTTCTCGTACCAAGAAACGACGAATTGATAAATTTGTCTAATCACAATGCTTGCGAATTGTACCGTGTTAAGATTTCTCGTAAATAATTCTAGAATAAACTTCTACACTGAAATCGATGGAACAAGTTCCTAGAATTAATCGCACTAAAAATTCTTCTTTTGATTTATTATGTTACTACACGTGCTTTGAACACGAATGAACATGCGTTCAAATTCTATTTAACTTTCATTTCACGCAGATTACCTGTGTTTATTAAAGGAAGAGAGAGTGGAGTTCAGTTTTAACGAGAAATTATTATTAATTGTGATCATTTATCCTAAGATCATATATTGCTGTATACATATAATAAGTAATTTTTTTTCTTCTTAAAAAATATCTTTTGAACGTATTGTTCTCCGATACTCGTGATATATTTTCGTTAACATCTTAAAAACAAAATATTTTTTTAAATATTTTAAAAGCAAATATTATATAAATTAAATTAAATTTCAATAGAATACAGTCAGAGTATTTGGTTACAGTATTTAAAAGAACTGGGCTACAAAACACACGGTGTGGGGAAATGGCACCTGGGATACTTCAGGAAGGAATACACTCCGACCTATCGTGGATTTGACTCGCATTTTGGTTACTGGAATGGCCTTCAAGATTATTACACGCATATCACACAAGAACCAGTAAGTATTGTACATGTCATTAAAGTATATTTAATACGAGCAAAGAAGTTTCATGAGACTACTATTTTTTTCTCAGGATCCGCAATTCAGCGATTTCGAAGGCTTCGACATGAGAAGAAACCTCACAGTTGCATGGGATACTGTGGGAAAATACTCGACGGATCTTTTCACGAACGAAGCGGTACGACTAATTAACGAGCACGACACTAATCACCCGATATTTCTATATTTGGCTCACCTTGCGCCTCACAAAGGAAATCACAATCAGCTTCTGCGTGCACCATACGAAGAAATCGCCAAATTCTCGTACATTCTTGACCCGGAAAGAAGAATTCAAGCAGGTGTGATTCCTCGTTTGTTGAATTTTAACTTTTTAATCAAATAACGTTGCAATTTATCG